CTCCCTTCTGAGATAGTTAAAAAATATGACTCAGAGAGCATCAATAGAGTCCAGAAATATAGAGTGCTTAGTTAACACATATACTCACTGCCCAGGGTCAGTCAGTCTTAAGCCACATGTAGCTGTTGGGGCATTTCAGATATGAAACATCTGAATTGAGACCTGGTGACAGGATGAGATACACTGCACATTGTAAAAAGACTCGGTGTGAGCAAATGAAGGGAAGTCGCAATGCTAATGATTCTTGGACTGACTTGACCTTCAATAGTTTGAATGTGTTTACTTTGAATAAACTAATTGTTCAATTAATTTACTTGTTCAGCTTGGATTCTTTCCTTTTGGCTCGTTTGTTGTTTGCTTTTTGAGGTAGGATTTCTCTGTGTAACAGCCCTGGCTGTCCTGTAACTCACTTTGTAGACCAGGCTGGCCTCGAATTCAGAGATCCACCTACCTGGTTAATCCCTAGTGCTGGGATTAAAGGCAGGTACCACCACTGCCTGGTGAATTCTTTCTCAAATATTTGTTAAATTATGTATGTATGTGGGTCTGTGCCTATGTGTGCAGAGCTGAAGTTCCAGTCAGTTGTGAATGTGGTGCTGGGAGTCCAACCCAAGTCCTCTGCAAGTAAGAGTTGTATACACTCAACCACAGAGCAGTCTCTCCACCCTCTTGAATTATTTTTAATGTTACCTTTGTGTTTTAAATTATTTATGGGGCCATATTATATCTCTACAATACTTACGTGACATTTGCACTCATTAATTTCAAAAATTCAAGAAGTCAAAGTCATAGCCTATGCCAGTGTTTACTTGCTGATTGAAGTGCGTCTTTCTTTGGAAAACCTTGCATCCCTTGAATGAAATATTTGAGTATTGACCATAAAAGGACTTGGGACCAGTAATACTGTGTACTCGCCATGGATTTCTGTGCTCATGATGGCCTTGGTATGAGGTTCAAGTGGGGGAAATGAGGTAACAAGGTCAGAATGCAAAGGGAAATCCCAGCAATTTCCTTGGCAAAGCTTGCTCTCTGCAGAAGTTGTATTTGACCTGGATTTCATGCTCAGAATGCTCTGGTATTCTCCTCCATCAACCCCCAGAGGCTGTCTTTGATGTTACACGCCTAATAGCAGTTCCAAGGGCTCTCACTTGCAGCAAGTGCTTTTGTGGTGTGCTTACAGACACCCACTCCATCCCCCTCAGTTCCCAAGAGCACTGAGGGAGGTTTCTGTGTATTGTTGCCCACTGTGATGCTTGGGTCTGGCCTGAGCCTCTTCTCTGTGCCTGCTGTTCCCTCCTCCTATCCCCAAATCTGCCATGTAGGCTCATAAGTGACCCAGACAAGACCTTTATTCTTTGCCCACAGAGAGCATTGTCTGTTACTGACTAGTCTGATATTGAGTATGTAGCTGTGTTTGGTGCCCCTTCGAGGGTTAGAGGTATTGCAGCAGAAAAGCCAAATTAACTCCTGCTAAGCTTGATTTAAGGAGCAGACAGTCTACTAGGGCCTCTTGTATAGTTTAAGACACTCAATTGCAATGAATGGCCAACCTACAGAGAACTTGGAAGTTATAGAGGCCAAACCACTTATTTAGCAATCATCACTGCAATCTTGACTCCACAGGGGGTGAACTGTGTTTGTGTACCGAGGTACTCATTGTTCACCTTCATGAATTCAGTAAATATTTTCTAACAACTGCCATCTTTGAGGTACTTTCTTTGAGGTACAAGTAGAAGAATGAAAGACTGTGGTTTTCTTGAGTTTGAAATTGATTTTTTAAAAAAAGAAAGGCTGAAGAAAAGGCAGAGTTCAACAAGATAAGGGTCTTGAGGGTTTAGGTGGGAAATGAGTGGCAGTTTCCATCCCGGAAGGTGATCCAGATGAGTTGGAGCAAGTTTGTCTTCCTTCTGGAAATCAGGGTGTTGGTGAGTTGATCCCAGTTTAGTGACCAGTCAGTTTGATATCAAAGAGGCAGATGTATACCTGACTTGTTTGATGATCAATGAAGGAGGGTAGTGGGGCTGGAGCAAAGTGGGGCAAGGGGATAGGAAGTGTTAGAAGATAAAGTTGAAGAGGTATAGGGAATGTAATCAGATGGGAACTTCGGCTTTTTCACACAGGATTTTGAGTACAAATCTGTAGTCCAGCTTACTTGTCTGAAAAAAGTGACGCTACACAGTAGAATCCTAGACTGCTGATGTGCTTTCATGAATATACACAACCCTCTAGCCATCATCCCTGGCAAGATGCTCAGTCCTTGTATTGAGAGACTCAACTTGTGACTTGCACTTCAGAGGACCACTCAGGAGGCTCTGACTGGCAGACTGTAGAAAGGCAAGCTTTGGTGACGAAGGCAGAGTGCAGGTTCATACAGATGTGGAGGAAGCCAGCAGATCTTGGTGTGACCTCAAAGTAAAGTTTGATGGGCTGTGTAAAAGAAAGGAAGGATGGTGTGATTTTTCCCTCTACACTAAAGAAGGGTGGAACTATTGTCATTTTCTGAGCTGGGGCAGATTGCTTTGAAATGTATGGATTCGTATTTAGAATCCATGTATGCTTTGTAAGAGAAAAGGATGGAAAGAAAATTAGTGATATTTATATAGAGGCCTCTTGTCCCCCCTGTTGGGTTCTGAGGTGCTTGGTTATACCTTTTTTGCAGTGTCATCTTAGTTCGCTTTGTTATTTTTGGTAGAAAGATCTTTCTAGGTTGACACAACTCCAGTGTTCAGTGCAGCTGTAATCATCCTACACCCTGCTTGACTTATTTAAGAATCATGACTTGTGGTGGGGAGACCTAGCTCATTAGGAACCTTTCTTCCACCAAAGTTGAACTTCAGGAGGCAGCTCTGGTGTTTAACTTTGAATTTCTTTGTCTCTTATGGTACTGTTAGATGACAACTGTGCTCTTGAGGCAAAAGAGAAACAGAGAGAATGCTAACATCAAATGGGGATAAAATGCGAGTTTCAGGGAAAGGGATATAAATACTTTGTATACTCGAATCCCAAGTTAAGTCTAGAATACATTCTGGAAAGAATATCTGAAATAGTCATCGGTTGCTCTCTGTTGCTCAGTGATAAGGACTTTTGCTTCATTATAGGTGCTTTTTTTTTTTTTTCTCCATGTTTGGGGGAATTTCATCAATAAACATTTGTATTTAATTTATGGAAGAATTTACTCAACATTACACTCAGTCTTGGGATGGACCAGTTTTTTGTTTGTTTGTTTGTTTGTTTTTTTAAGGTTTTTGTTTTGAGGGAGCTGATAGTTGTGTTTTTGTTTGTTTGTTTGTTTTTGTGAGACAGGGTTTCTCTGTAGCTTTGGAGCCTGTGCTGGAACTCATTCTGTAGACCAGGCTGGCCTCTGACTCACAGAGATTCACCTGCCTCTGCCTCCTGAGTGCTGGAATTAAAGACGTGTGCCACTACTGCCTGACTTGGAGCTGATAGTCTTTTTGAGACAGAATCTCACTATGTAACTTAGGCTGGCTTGGAACTCTCTATGTAGACCAGCCTGACTTCAAACTCAGAGAGTTCCTATCCCTGCCTCCCGAGTGCAGGGATTACAGGCTTGTACCACCACTTCTGGCTTATAGTCATAAGAACATATGTGATCATTATAGTTTTGTAAGAAGAAAAAATACATTAATGAAAAAAGAAAGAATACAAGTGACTTTGTCAAGTTTCTTTAGCCATTATTTTTCCTTTTCCAATGCTAGGAATGATATCCAGGGCTCTCCAAACACTCTGTTTTTAAACTACACCCCATCCTTCCTTTCTTTCTAACAAAAAAATTAAAATCTAATATTTTATTCCTTAAGAATCTCCTATATTATGATTGTAGTCACCTCCTCTCCCAGCTCTTCCTTGATCTACCTCACTTACCTACCCAACTTTGTCTTCGTTCTCTGTCTCTGTCTGTTTAAAATACATTATTAAGTCAGTTTTGTGGTAGCCAACTACTCCTGGGCGTGGTTCCTAGCCTCTCAGATGACTTCAGCTTTTGTCAAGTTGACATAAAACTATCCAGCACAGCTGAGTCTGGTTAGTATTACATGTATGTTTCTAGAGCTGACATCTTGGTATTGGATAACCAACTTGGGTCCTCATCTCTGAGGAAGACAAATTCTTCCTCTCTCAAGTCATTAATTGCTTGTAGTTCTTCATATAGGAGTGGAGCCCCAAGAGGTTTTCCCTAGTTATGTTGGGATGTCAACTAGAGTTGGAATTGTTCAGGTTTTGTTTAGGCAGCCATGTTGCTAAACTCCATGTTTCATGAATCTAGGGTATGTTGTCTTCAGAAATAGGATCTTATCATCAAATTTTGGAAGATAACTAAAATCAATGATAATAACCTGTAATATTTGTATGTCTATGGGACTCCATTGGCCAACAGCTCACAGAGAAGTAATCCATTCCTGCATTAGGATTTTTATTTGATATAATGTGGAGTAGGTTTAGTGTGTGGTATATATTAAAAGAAAAATCTCCAACAACAGAAAAAAAAAAAGAGAGAGAGAGAGAGAGAGAGAGAGAGAGAGAGAGAGAGAGAGAGAGAGAACTTTCCAAAGGGATTTAGTTAGTTATTGCTCTCGGGATTCCCTCATCTACCTTTCATCCTATTTCCTAACCCCCTTAATCTCTCCTATTCCATTTTTCTCTTTTCCCTTTTTCTACCATTATATTCTGTTTCTCCTTGCTTGAAAGAGTCCATGCTCCCACATGACCCTTTACTAGTGTTGTAACCTGTATGGCCATTCCAAGTGAAACACACATCTCTAAAGCTTAAAAGTTAGCATCTCTATTTCAGCGAAAGCTTGTGGTTTGTCTCTCTGCATCTGAGTTTTCTCACTCAAGATGTTGGTTTCCAGCTCAGTCCATTAACCTGCAAATTTCATTTTCTCTAAGTTGAATATTATTCTGTTGTATAAGTGTACCACACGTTCATTATTTGTTCATTAGTTGATGGACTATATGCCTAGACTGTTTCCATTCTCCCCTCCCTCTCTAAGATGAGTAGCAGCAGCAGGCACTGTGCTGACCTGAGCTGTTGGGGTGTCTCCATGTTACTCTGTGATATAGTTTGAGATCCCATGGCCATAATGGAGAGCCAACGCCCTTGGAAACATTGTGTTGTTTTCTTTTTTAGCAAGGGCTTTACGAATTATGCTTCATTCACCTTTCTCACTGGCTTTATTTTCTGAGGCTCTAGAACTGAGTGTTTTGACTGTCAGATACTCTTTGCATTTCAGCAGCAAGTTTGGTAAAAATGGCATCTGATAGCAGGTAGAGATGTCTATCCTACGCACCATAAAGGGGAGCTGTACAGCATTCACATAGGTTTCTGTCTTGATTTCAACCACTGGGTGACACAAGGTGCTGTGGTACCTTGCTAGAAACTTTGCTGGAGGGTCCCACTGATGTCTTCATGACCTCAGTGTCATTGTGACTCTGGGTTTTGTTAAGTTTCTATTACCTTGTCTCAAAAACACCTACATTGATCTCACAGAATCTGATAGTGAGGCTGGGCAGTACTTCAAGACTGTTCACCTTATGGCCATTCACATTGTCCTAGTTGTCCATTACTGCCATCAGAGGTCAATGCCAAGTGTGTCTTGTGGACTTCCAGAATACATCAGATTTAAGAGAGCTTTCAGGGGGCATCTGTTCTTATTGAGAAACTCTCAGACAGGGGAGACTTCACTGTCCCTTGTGACGAAGTTTTCATACAGGGTTAATTGTGTTCAATAGCACCTGGCATCCAGCTCTTCCATTTCTGGTGCTGGATCAGTGTTTAAAAAAAAAAAAAAATGTTTCCTTATGTCTTCTTTCTTGGGCATCTTATAGCTGGTTGAAAATCCCCTCCTCCTCCTGAGAATGCTGGTATGACGACTTCCTTCTAATTTTATCAAATACAGTATGACCAGAAACAAAACAGAACCATGTTGCTGCATGTAATTCCTGGCAGAAGTGGTGCTACTTCATCTTAGGATAAAACTGTGAGTTTTTAAGAAGCAACATGATGTGATTCCTTAACGAAAGCAAATAGGCTGCCTAGCCTGGCTGTCAGAGTCTCTGTACTTGGTGGCCTGAGGACACCACTAGTCATTTGAGATAGCTGCGGTTCCTGACTACAGCAGAACCCTTCCTCCCTCCCTCAGCTTGCAGGGTTCTGGGTAGAGACCCAAGATGTGGTAGGCAGTGTTGCATTCCCAGGAGAGTCACATTGTCACAATATTTATTCCCTCATATGACACAAGCCAAGTGCATGCATGTGTGAGATTGAGACAGATACTGAGACAGGTGTGATGCATCAGTCACAAGAAGGAATGCAGGGTGGGAGGGGAGAGCTGTGTGCCTGGGCTCAACAGCCTACAGACTGCACCAGGATGGAGACTGCTCGGAGAAATAAATCTCACATCACTACCTCACTGAGCTAAGGGACCCACTCTACACTCCTGTTCCTTAAACATAAGCCAATTTCATCCTGGGGCTCACCTGCAGAAGTAGTGAGCTTTTCTCACACTGGGAACAGACTGGCAGCATTGAGCTTAAGCAGAGTGTAGATGATTGTATTTGGTGGAGAGTTTAAATAGGACACTTTAAAGATAGTTTTAGATTTTTTGCACATGGTGTGTTGGGGTAAAGTAGGAGAAGCATGCAATTCAAAAGCACTATTAGTAATCATTTTAATACTTAAGGATAATGTTTTCAGAATTGTTTTAAGAGGCTAGAGAGAGATGGTTTACCAGTTTAGTGTACTCACTGCTCTTCCAGAGGACCCTGGTTTAACTTCCAACACATGTATGGCTCTTCACAACATTCTGTAATTCCAGTTCCAGGGGATCTAACACCCTCTTCTGGCTTCTGTGAGCATCAGCACTCTGATGGTGTATAAACACACATGCAGGCAAACAAATAAACAAGACATATATAAAATTTAAAAACTAAAATACAAATTTTAAGTAAAGATAAGAATTATGTCTTTTCTTTTTTCCTAGGATGTCTTTTACTCTCAGCATGGTTCTGGTATTGATCTTACTTAAATATAAAACTACCTTGTCATAGTTTAAATGAAAATGGCCCTCATAAGCTCAATAATACTTGGTCTCCAGTTGGTAGAACTGTTTGGGAAGATTAGGAGTGTGGCCTTGTTGGAGGAGGTGTGTGGTGTGTCCCTGGGGGTGAGCTTTGAGGTTTCAAAAGCTCACACCATTCCCAGTGCTTTTTTTCTCTTGGTTCTTATGTGGATCCAGATATGAGCTCTCAGATACTGCTCTAAGTCCATGCCTGCCTTCTGCCATGTTCCTGCCATGATGGCCATGAACTCATCCCCTGAACTTGTAAGCTCCAGTAACACTTTCTTCTGTAAATTGTCTCAGTTATGGTGTCTATTTAGAGCAATTGAAAAAGTAACTTTGACATAAGTTCATCCAAGATTCCTTGCATTAATTGTGTATGTGTGGATCATATATATTGTATCAACCACTTTTACTTGAAATTACTTAAATATTTTTGTATTTTTTTAATCTTTGGAGCAGGAAGATCATACATCCTTTGCTTTCCTGTGGTTTGGTTCTGTCCTTGACTTCTGACCTTTGAAATTATGATTGTAACTGACAAAGAATATCTAAGGTGACTTCATGAATTCAGTTCTTACAGAAATAACTTCTTGTATGTATGTTGTAATATGTGAAGGCCTTTTTTTTTTTTACCTTTTTAAAAAATCTTTTTATTAGTTCAAGTTAGGGAACAAGCTTGTTTCACATGTAAGTCCCTTCTCACTCTCCCTCCGCTCATACCCATCCCTCCTCCCCCATCCCCAAACTACCCCCCACCCCATCCACCCACCACTCCCCAGGCAGGGTAGGGCCCACAACAGGGGCTCTGCAAAGTCCACCAAATCTTCCTGTGCTGGTATGTGAAGGCCTTTTATATATTCCTTTATTTAATAGATATTTATTGAACATTTACTGCATACCAACACTATTCTGAATGCTGTTATATAAATTAAGCAAATCTTTGTTCTTGGAGCATACATTTCTAGTCCCCATGACAACTTTTCAATACAGATATTGGCTCAACCATTTTTCATGTGGGAAGAAAGATGCTCCAAGGATAATCCTGGCAGCAGATGATGAGTTTGGTCATGCCTAACATAGAAGAATGTTGAATGGATTCAGAAAAAAAGTCAGCTTATTACAACCTGAGTTTAGTCAATAGGAGGCTTCCTGGAATGTATGAGTCCTAAATTGGCTCTTAGAGGAAACCATTATTTAAATTCAAGGGCAGAAACATAATACTCATTTTCTTTGATTGGAGCAAGGCAACAAGATGACACAGAGAAAGCCAGGTTAGGGTGAAAATCAAATGTTTGCTTACTGTAGTAAGCAGCATTCACTAAACGTTGGGATTGGCAGAGGTGGTCCTTACTTAGTCTGTTAGAACTAGAATCTGTTATCCAGAGAAGAAAGCATAGTGGTTCATTATCAATATCTGCATGGGAATGATAGGATTATCACTAATTTTCTTGCTAGCATGCCAGGTACATTGTAATACTGATGCGATTATGTTGATTACATTAGTGTCCTGAACTGAATCTTCAGAAAACCTCTATTAGAATTGCTGAAGAAATTGCTAGTACATGTTAGCCTGATTGTTTTGAGACTTAGGAGAAAGAAACAGAAAGTTGGAAAATGTAGGTTAAAATATTGATCTTGTATATTTTGATACAGTTATATAAAGCTTGTGATTATTAATGCATCAGACAATTAGAAAACAGTTAAATTTAACTTACATTAAAGACTTCTTTATTGAGATAGATTTGATGTACAATGTCTTGCATAAATTTAGTGTGGGAAATAATTTGACGCCATCACCATGAGGGATCAAAGAGCTAGGCCCAGTTGTATATGCTTTTAGTCCTAACTGCTTGAAAAACTGAAGCAAAAGGATGACTGGTACTCAGGAGTTAAACCAAGCAATACACCTAGACAGGGAGACCAGGGGGAGGTGACAAAACCACATTCACATTTTGTTTGTGTAAGTTTCCTTGTACCTATTTATAATCTCTCTTACCTACCCTGTACTTTTTCCATTCCCACACAATGATACGTTTTCTTTCTAAAATTTTATTTTTTGAGCTTTATTTTTATTTTATGTGTTTTACATGCACATATGTGCAGTGCCCTCAGAGGCTAGAAGAGATCCCTTGGAACTGTAGTTATAGGTGGTTGTTAGCCATTGTGTGAATGTTGGGAATTGAACTCTCGTCCTCTGGAAGAGCGGCCATGGCTCTTAACTGCTGAGCCATCTTTCTAGCCCCAATACATACTTTCTATTGCCATACATTAGGTTGCTTTTCTTAGAAACTTTACACAAAGTCATGTACTATGTATTCTTTTTTTGTGAAGGATCCAGTCTGACTTAAGTCAAAGCATAACAGTGAATTATGCTACACTCTCAGGCATACCTAACTCTTTAGGATCCATTCATCTTGTAGCATGTAGCCATAGTTCACTGTTTAATTACCAAGAAGAATTGTGCTCCTTATGGAGATGCCACAATTTACCTACTTTCTCTGCTGATGGACATTTTTGTTATTTCTGTTTGGGGTGACTGTTATAAAGAACATCTGCAAGTAAGCCTTTATATGGATCTGGGCTTTCATTTCTCTTCTCTTAGTATCTAGGGGTGGAATGGCTAGATGTTAACTTCATCTGAAATTCTTAAGCAATACAGCAGCATTTCCAGACTGCCTGTTGCCTTTTACATCCCCACCTAGCACTATGTGAGACTTCAGTTTTCCCATGTATTCAACATGTGTCTATTTGGCCAGTCTTTTTCTTTTATTATTATTGTTAAGATTATGTGTGCCTGTGAGGGGGTATAGCCACACGTAAGTGAGTGCAGTAGAGGCCAGAAGTGTCAGAGATCTTTGTTAACAGGAGTTACAGGCAGTTGTTAGCTGTCCAATGTGGTTTCCAGGAACTCAGGTCCACTCCAAGAGTAGTATGTGCTCTTAACCACCTAACTGCCTCTTCAGCCCCTTGGCTAGTCTTTTTAACTTTAATCTTTTAATAGTGTCTAGAGGTATTTCATTATTGATGACAGATGATGTTGAGTCTTTTCAT